AAATAACCTGTTATGAGATGAACTATTAGTTTCTCATACATACTCTGGTGAGTAGCTGAGACATTTATTTCTTTAAAAACACCCACTTCATAAACACTGTTTATTTTGACTATTTTTTTCAGTTCTGTGAACTAGTCCTGATTCTTACTTCTACTACAGCTCCCTTGCATTGCTTGGGCAGCATAAACGGCCTTCAGCATATAATTAAATGTCATTCCCACCTACTGTATGGGCCTTGTATACTGGCAGAGCAATGTAAAGACGCTTAAATGTAACCACATACCAGAGTGTCTCCATGTGACAGGCAGTAGACCCCACACAGGCACCAGAATTGACTGCACCTAAGGAGGGTCTGGGCAGGTGAAGGGGATGGGTTTAAAGGAGGAGAGAGAGAGAAGATAGTGAGCTCCCCCTTGCTGGGAAGGGGCCTGATGGAAGGTTGGAAAAGCAGAGAAATAGGTAGTCTTCTGCTGTGAGGATATTACACTATAGTTGAGGGTCTCCTCTGAAGGACAGTGGTGGCCAGCTGAGCCCGATTAGGGCTGAAGGTTGTCTTTATATTTCTGTTGGATGTGTTAAAGCAGGGGTAGTCAATTATTTTTTGTCAATGTCCAAATTTCTTGGTTAAGGTCCAGACTCCCAAGAAAATAATAATTTAAAAACCCAATAATGACAATAATAAGTAAATAAAAAGATTTGGGGGTCCATTCAATAGTATCTGGTGGTCCAGATTTGGCCCACAGTCTGCCTATTGACTACCCCTGTGTTAAAGGATTCTGTGGCCCCAGAAGGGATCAAATGCTTGAATGTGTCTTGACCGGAGGTCAGGCCACTCCTGTGGCCAGAATAGGCCACAAAACACAAGAGGGGAAACTGGGACACAGCTACTATCACCACATCCACCTCCTTGAGAGTGTGATGCAGCAGCAACTCGGCTGCATTCCCCTAGAAAATATTACTGGCATAAAGCTCCAAAACTCCCCCAAGCGTGGACACAGTTATTTCAATATAAAAGTGCTTACAACCAGTATTGCTTATCCTATACCAGTACAAGAAACTCTTATACCAATATAACTACATCCACATGGCTTAACAGGATAACTAAATCAGAAAAAAAGCATGCCTCTAACTGACAGTTATATCAGTATAAATTTTGTGTATACCAGGCCCAGTAGTCAAGGTTGGGGAAAATGGAAAAAGATACTGTACATTAGATTGCCTCATGCAGTTTTAAATGGTTTTAGACTTGTGTGACCTCACATGCAAATTAATTTGGCACAATTTCTTGCTGGAACCAGTCCCTGAAAACCTAACTACTAGATAAATTGTAATCCCCTTGAATACAGCTTACCCTCTTGGGGTGCTGGAACAATTTGTATAGTGGGGGTGCTGAGAGCCATTGAACCAAATTGTAAATCCTGTATATAATGAAAACCACTTCAAGCCAGGGGGTGCTGCAGCACCCCCCCACCCATAGTTCCAGCACCTATGTACTCTCTTTACATCCTGATCCTGCCCCCATCAAAGTCAATAGACATTTTGCCAGTGACTTCAGTGGGAGCAGGATTGGGCCCTTAGCATTCTGTATAACTAAAGACTGGCTTATGGTGGTATTTAAGTGCTTTAAATAAATAGTCTTGGAAATAAAACCTATGGCAATGGCAAGATTCCTACTGACTTCAATAGTCTCTGGATCAGATCTTTAATGCAGGCTGTTTATTGCAACTAATATGATACTGACACCCCAATAGGGCTTCTAATGAATTCTGAAAAGTGTTTGCTTGTATGGACAATAACTTTTCTGCCAATTTTATACAAGGCTTTTGTCTCTTTCTAAATAGACTGCAAGGGACAAGCAGTTGTAAAGGCAACTACCACAAAGTAACATTAAGTGTCTGGTTTGATAAGTGAATTGCAAAAACCTAATTAAGCACCTTTGGTGTATTGTAATTGGTTCTCTCCTATGAATAAGCTTTTCTTGATTATATATCAACCATGTTGTTTGCTGAATAGGGGTGTTTTACAGAGGATAGAAGAATGCTGAGATGGGTGTCTTCTTGTGAAGCATTAGTATAAATGCAAGAGCTAATTACGTGATTTCCGAGAGCATCTTTCTGAATGTTAAATCTAGACACGTTTGTATGCCGTACAGAAGGAAGAGCAGATGCAAGCATACCATGTTTAAGAACAAGACCATGCGGTTACTAAGAAGTCTTTTGTAGATGAAAATGGTAGCCCATACTATTGAATATATTTAATAAGTGGAGCACTGAAGCTTTGCTCCTAAATTAAAAAAACATGGATCGATGAAAATGCACATTGGAGATCCCTAATCTTCATCCCAAATATTCCTTCCCTCTCCTGCATGAAGATGAAGCCTGGGCTCCTGTGTGACACAACTAGCAAATGAATAGTGCATCAGATCCACCCTTCCTGGGCAAGCTCATGAAACAACCCCCTACATTTGGCTTGATATATCTATATCTTTAGGATAGGCTCACTGCCGTTTCTCTGCAAGTTGGCAGGGACTCTTTCCCAGGAAAGGACTGCAGCTCTGCAAACTCAACCTGGAATTTGAAACTCAAGCTACTTACTTTCTGGATAATGCGGGCCCAGAGTCTGCCTCTGGTTAAATGAGTACAATGCCATTGCTTTCAGCAGGGTTACACTAAAAGTTATAAGTGAGGGCACCATTTGGTCCCTGCAATTGGAACTGAATGAACAATTCTGTTGTGAGCCAGAGCACAATCCAGCTCCTACTCGCTTAGCTGCGTTGGCTGTGCCGTTGGCTCTAATAGGTACAAACTATTTTTATCCCAGACAGCAGAAATGTTTCCGACTCCACCTAAGACGTGGATCTCCATAAAAAGGTGCCATTTTTACACAGCCTCTTCGCACAGTAGAAGCACGTTTTAAGGTTATTCTTCAAATTATAGCAAACAAGACCAAGGTCACCACTTTAAAAAGCTAGGTTATGCCTGGTCCAGTAAATCCCAAATATGATAAAATAGCTTCGGGGAAATAATAGGCTCAGTTTGAAGGATTTATCATACACCATTAAAGGACGTGGCTGGTGTAACACAGCATGTTTATAGCTTGCTTTAAAGTTGTTTTACCAAAGAGAGAGGGGAAATTGCTACAACCACTGGGATTCAAATAGGTGCAGCAAACTGTTCAAAGGCAGACAGGTCTCTGCAATTATGTTGCTTATCCTCTTTCTGGGCACATGTGGTGTCAACCCATTTTAATGCCCAGAGCAGAGATGGAATCCATCATCAGGAATTAGCTCCTTCCAAGAACCAGCATCAGACAATGTCCTATCACCACACTGGCTGTGGAGCCAAAGAACCCTGATAGACACACACCCTTCATGGGGTTGGACAAAGCTGATCAGTTAGTGTGTCATAATGTCGATGTTTCCGTTTTTCAGTTATTTTACACAATTTCCAGTTTTGGCAAAAACAAAACAAAACGGGGGGGGGGATCTGAAAAAATAATTGAAGTGTTTTTCTACTCTTTTACCATCTGTAGAGCTGGTTTAAGTATCTGAAATGTTAAAATATCAGTGAGAATTTCTATCAAAATTTCAATGGAAAAAAGATGGGGAGAAAATCATGCTTCTTCAACCACTCTGCTCACAACCCTGAGGCTGGAGACCAATCTGACCAGATTCCATCCTAAACCTTTCGTGCAGTGACTAGCAACACTGTCCAACTGGCAAGAGAAGTCCAGACCTACCAGGGCTGGAAGAATTTTTCATCCTCCAGCCAAAGGTAAAAATTCCATTCTTACTCATAGACTTTAAGGCCAGAGGGGAAGGGGGATCATTGTGCTCATCGAGTGTGACCTGCACATCGCAGAACACAAACCCTCACTCACCCACTCCAGCAAGTGCCCCATAGATTCATAGATTCATAGATTCTAGGACTGGAAGGGACCTCGAGAGGTCATCGAGTCCAGTCCCCGCATGGCAGGACCAAATACTGTCTATTGCTGCAAAGGAAGGAGAAAAATTCCCAGGGTCCCTGCTCCCTGCCAATCTGCGCCTGCGCCCCGGCTAAAGAAACAGACTGCCCTCCTGGCTGGGATGGATGACTCCTGTAAGCTTCTAAAGCAGCCTGGAATGGCAGAAGAAACTCGACGGGGGGGGGGGGTGGATAATTCCTGGATCTACTGGGATCGTGCCAGACTCTGACATGTGTTCTGCTACAAAGTTGCATCCTCAAAATGGAGAATCTGCTCCTAAATCTGAGTACGAGTGATCAATTTGAGGTGGGAGGGTTAAAAAAACAACCAGCAACCCGAAAAAGTTGTTGGATCCCGCAGGCTCCAGGTGCTGTATGTACCTTTTGGTGCTGCTACTCCATCGCTTTGCAACGCGCCTCTAGATTCTTGAGTGCACTCCTAATGGCTAAATATGGTTCCTCTGTTTAGACCAGGGGTCGGCAACCTTTCAGAAGTGGTGTGCCGAGTCTTCATTTCTTCACTCTAATTTAAGGTTTGCGTGCCAGTCATACATTTTAACATTTTTAGACGGTCTCTTTCTATAAGTCTATAATATATAACTAAACTATTGTTGTATGTAAAGTAAATAAAGTTTTTTAAATGTTTAAGAAGCTTCATTTAAAATTAAATTAAAATGCAGAGCCCCCGGACCGGTGGCCAGGACCCGGGCAGTGTGAGCGCCACTGAAAATCAGCCTGTGTGCCGCCTTCAGCACGTGTGCATAGGTTGCCTGCCCCTGGTTTAGACCGTGAAATGTTGCAAGGATGAAAAAGTGTCTTAGTTGAGCAGGGTCCACAGACCAGACCAGCAGTTTGCCAGTGAGATTTGCCACTACGGCAAGTTGCAGTACAAACCTGTCCCCTGAAGGAAGAGCAGTTTCACTTGTGTATACTTTGGAGCCAACAATTGCCAGGGAGGAGCCAGAGGCAGCCAAGGGCCGGATCTGGATTTTTGCCATGTTAATGTGCGGGGATGTGTCAGGGTCTGGAATTGGGGGGAAGGGAGGAACTAGACTGGCTCTATTTAGACGGTAGAAAGTGAGGGCTCGGAACCGAAACGTGGTTTTCTTTAGCAGCCCTCCTGCTCCGGGACGCGGCTGGCGTTCCCTGGCGCAGCAGAAGCTGCCTGACTTGATCTCTGGTTTTGACTGTACAATTTCAGGGCTTGGCCCCCACAAATCGGCTGGATAGATCCAGCATGGCTTTCCGCCAAAGCTCCCCGCCTACCCCACGTCGCCCTGCCGCACTGACCCCTTGGGGTAGGGATACCACCCACCCAAGGGAAAAGGGAACTGGGTGGCACCTCCTCCATTGTTTATCCTGGCTCCCTAGTGGAGGAGGAGGGCCCTTGGTTTCACCAGGAAACAGGAGGGGGGATAATGCTGGGAGCCACAGGGAACGAGGAGTAGAGGCGAGCGGTGCAGCAAGGGGGAGTGACCGCCGGGGCGGGGGTGCAGGAGGATCCGCTGCTCCCAGGGCGTGCGCGCCAGGGCTGGCGCTTCCCTGGAGCCTGGTCTGGGGCGCGCAGCGGGGGGACCGGGAGAGCTGCTCCTCTGCCCCGGCGCCGGGGTCTGCTGGCCGCGCGGGGAGCATGGAGGAGGCAGGCGGCCGCCTGGACGCGCAGTACGAGCGCCTGGCGCTGGACACGGCGCTGAGCACCCTGCTGGCCGTGCTGCTGTACGTGGCGGTGAAGGTGAGCGTGGACAGGCTCCGCCACTGGAGGGCGAGGGTCTCGGTGCTGATCGTGGGGGCTGGCCCCGTGGGGCTGACGGCCGCGCTGGTCGCTGTCCGCTCGGGCAAGGTGCTGAAGCTGACGCTGCTGGACGAGCGCTACCGGGCAGCCCTGCTCTGCCGACCCCAGCAGATCGCCCTGCAGCCGCGCAGCGTCCGGTTCCTGCTGGCCCTGGGGGTGGATTTCGATAACATGGAGGGCTGCTGGGACAACGAGCACTTCTTCACCCGCATCGGCGTCTTCCAGGAGCACCTGCTGAGCATCCTGGAGCAGCAGAAGTACAGGCAGGAGATCCGGATCCTGCTGGGCACCAAGGCAAGTACCCGGCCCCCTGCGCGGCAGCTGCAGGGACGCTCCGAGTTGCACTGGCTATGCCTGGGGACTAACTTCGGCTTGCGACTCACACCCCCTCCCCTCCGGCTCATTAGAAGGGGGAGAGGGAGGAGTGGGGGGCTACGGCCTGACCCACTAGACTTACTGGGAGCTGTTTTGCCAATGATTTAGTTGGGGTGCAGGACTGAGCCCCTGAGGACTGGTGAGTAAACTTGTCCCCGCCGGCTTCCCCTCCCCCCAACTTCCTTCAGAAAGGGCCCGATCCCACTGAACTCGGTGAGGTGGGGGGCCAGCACCTCACCGGGCTGGGCCCACTGCTTGCGGGAGGGACCTCCCCTGGAGTTCTGTGTCCCAGTCCCTGGGACGGAACTGTGCAGGCAGCAGTCCCCCTGCTAAGGCGGGAAGGGAAGGGAGGGAGCATCAGCAGTTTGTCTCCCTCATCAGAGCAAAACACCTGGGAAGAAAAAAGGTAGAAAGGAGAGAGGAAAGATGTTCTGGGTGTGGAGTGCTACCTTCCTGTCACTGGAGTGTGGGATGACTTCTCTGGAAAAGCTCGTTGGGAAATGGTTCTGTCTCCTGTGCACACATTTTTTGGGGGGAAACCCCAATATTTTTGCAATGTTTTGAGGTTTTCATAATTTTATTTTTAAAAAATGTTGGTTTCCAAATATTTTTGGGGGGTGGGGAGTTGCTTGGGTTTTGGGAAGGCCTGTTTTGGACAACCACTTCCCCCAAATATTTTGTTAAAAATTGACTTTTGATGGAATTTCTACTTTCGTTGACACCCTTTTTGTCATTTAAAAACTTTCGACCTACTCTAGTAATCATGTTTATTTGTTAAGCTTCTGGAGGGGGGGAGAGTTAGGGACACCAGGACTGTGGGGTCCCCAGGAAGAGAAGGGGAAAATAAACATTGTTGGCAGGACAGGCTTACAACTAGCACTATCCGGCAGGCACCCTGTATTTTGCAGGATTAACTTATTTTAAAGTAGGACTTCTTATCTTTTGAATTAGTATTCTGTAACTGAGATCAGGGCCACCTTGTGCTAGGTGCTGTATATAGAATCATAGAAAACTCGTGCTGGAAGGGACCTCAGGAGGTCATCTAGTCCAACCCCTGTTCAAAGCAGAACCAACCCAAACTAAATCATCCCAGCCAGAGCTTTGTCAAGGCCGGCCTTAAAAACCTCTAGGGATGGAGATTCCACCACCTCCCCAGGTAACCCATTCCAGTGCTTCACCACCCTCCTAGTGAAGTAGTGTTTCCTAATATCCAACCTACATCTCCCCCACTGCAACTTGAGACCATTTCTCCTTGTTCTGTCATATGCCACCACTGAGAACAACCAAGCTCCATCCTCTTTGAAACCCCCCTTCAGGTAGTTGAAGGCTGCTATCAAATCCCCCCTCACACTTCTCTTCTGCAGACTAAATAATCCCAGTTCCCTCAGCCTCGCCTCATAAGTCATGTGCTCCAGCCCCCTGATCATTTTCGTTGCCCTCCGCTGGAGTCCCTCCAATTTCTCCACATACCTTTTGTAGTGGGGGGCCCAAAACTGGACTCAATACTCCACATGTGGCCTCATCAATGCCAAATAGAGGGGAGTAATCACTTCCCTTGATCTGCTGGCAATGCTCCTACTAATGTAGCCCAATATGCCATGAGCCTTCTTGGCAACAAGGGCACACTGTTGACTCATATCCAGCTTCTCATCCACTGTAATCCCCAGGTCCTTTTCTGCAGAACTGCTGCTTAGCGAGTTGGTCCCCAGCCTGTAGCGGTGCATGGGATTCTTCCTTCCTAAGTGCAGGACTCTGCACTTGTCCTTGCTGAACCTCATCAGATTTCTTTTGGCCCTATTCTCCAATTTGTCTAGGTTACTCTGGACCCTATCACTACCCTCCAGAGTATCTACTTCTCCCCCCAGCTCAGTTTCATCTGTGAACTTGCTGAGGGTGCAATCCATCCCATCATCCAGATATAGTTACAGGGTTTCTGCCCCAGTGATCTTACAACCAAAACAGACAAAGGAAAGATGATTAACCCCATTTTACAGATGAGGAACTGAGCCACAGAAAGATTAGTAAATTCATGAGTGTCACGCATGGAGTTTGTGACAGAGCAGGGAATAGAAACCTACTTCTTGTGGGTCCCAGTCCACAGCCTTAACCATCAGACCATCCTTAGTGCTAGACCTGTAGTGTTTGACCAGAACTGCAGTTAATAGACAGTAACTTGGAATCTGAAACTTGTTCTGTATCTTCCTTTGTAGGGTGAAAATAGGATGACATAATTTATTTTATTACACGCAATCTTTATTTTTGCTATTATATGTTATTTTTAGATTCCAGGCAGCATATGTTTTCTTGATTCCAGTGTAGTGAGTCAGATGACATTATGTTAAGGGTTACATTGACACACTGCTGTTTTATATTTACTTCAGCATGTATGAAATAATTAAGTTAGTGTACATTACAGGATTAGTTTAGCCAATAATGAGTTGTTATTGAACAGATCTATAAATCTAATGCTGTTAAACTAATTACCATCTTATATATTTAGTAGGGTAATCTGTCTCAGCCAGCTAAAGTAAACAAAATGAAAAATATCAAGATTGAAGGCACTAAACAAACTATAGCCAGCATCTAATTAAGCAGGGAACAGATATGCTGAAGGGTGTCCTCAGAAGGTTCAGTTTGGATGTGAGCATAATTTAGAAAGACTGTCCAGATTTAACAATGGAACTAGCTTTGGTTAAATCCATCCTACCCAACTGAGGATTAAGATATTCAGCTCCAGGGACCTAAATTCAAACAAGCTTAGTCTCCTCTCTCTGCACAACCCACCACATACACTAGCAGAATTCAAGCATTAAGACATCTGTGCTAAAAGTGAGTCCTGGACATGAAATAGCAGGGAGTGCTTATGCAATTCTATTGCATTGACAGAGCGATGTGAGGAATCAAAGAACTGGAAGGGACCTTGAGAGGTCATCTAGTCCAGTCCCGTGCACTCAGTGCAGGACTAAGTATTATCTAGACCATCCCTGACAGGTGTTTGTCCAACCTGCTCTTAAAAATCCCCAATGATGGAGATTCCACAACTTCCCTAGGGCAATTTATTCCAGTGCTCTACCACTCTGAAAGTTAGGAAGTTTTTCCTAATGTCCAACCTAAATCGCCCTTGCTGCAATTTAAGCCCATTGCTTCTTGTCCTATCATCGGACGTTAAGAAGAACAATTTTTCTCCCTCATCCTTGTAACAACCTTTTATGTACTCTAAAACTGTTATCATGTCTCTTCTCTTCTCCAGACTAAACAAACCCAATGTTTTCAATCTTCCCTCATAGGTCATGTTTTCTAGACCTTTAAAATAATTTTTGTTGCTCTTCTCTGGACTTTCTCCAATTTGTCCACATCTTTCCTGAAATGTGGCGCCCAGAACTGGACACAATACTCCAGTTGAGGCCTAATCAGCATGGAGTAGAGCAGAAGAATCACTTCTCGTGTCTTGCTTACAGTACTCCTGCTAATACATCCCAGAATGATGTTTGCTTTTTTTGCAACAGTGTTACACTGTTGACTCATATTTAGCTTGTGATCCACTATGCCCCCCAAATCCCTTTCTGCAGTCCTTTTTCCCAGGCAGTCATTTCCCATTTTATATGTGTGCAACTGATTGTTCCTTCCTAAGTGAAGTAGTATGCATTTGTCCTTATTGAATTTCATCTTATTTACTAGACACCATTTCTCCAGTTTGTCCAGATCATTTTGAATTTTAATCCTATCCTCCAAAGTACTTGCAACCCCTCCCAGCTTGGTATCTTCCGCAAACTTTATAAGTGTACTCTCTGTGCCATTATCTAAATCATAGATGAAAGTATTGAACAGAACCGGAACGCTTGCATCGCACTAGCCTATACAATATTTGCCTATACTCTTATTAGTCCCTTACTAAGGCCTTAATCAAGCAGAGTATTGAAACATGTGAGTAGTACCATAGCATTCGGTGGTTGTTTCTTCACTGGGGACTACTCATGTGCTTAAACTTAAGCAAATGCTTTGCTGGATCAAGTCCTGCACATTTGATCCTAACCTCATTGAAATCAGTCCAGTCTTTGGATCTGCCCCATTATTCCTATTTTGGAGAAATAATATCATCCCCGTTCTTTTTCAATTATATTAACAGAGATGCAAAATTGTGAGCCAGTTTCAAAACAGCCGGGGAAAGTATTCATCTTGACATCTTTAAACATTGTCATTTAATTTCTTAACTTTTAACTTAATTTTGTGCTTCTTATAGGAACTGAAGTGACAGCTTTGGAAATCGAAATCCTCTAGTTAACCCAGGAGGGGGACAGCATTGGCAGTGCAAGCTTCCCTCCATACAGCACTGCATCAATGCGCTTTGAACCTGCCTTGGATTGACCACCTGTAGGGATAAAGGGTGTGACCAGGTAGAAAGGTGCTCCACAAGTCCTAGTGCATGAGGGGTTCCAGACTCCTGTCAGTCACATGGATCATCAAATGGTAGGGATATAAAGATAGAGAAATAGCTGTGATAGCACCTAGCTAAGGGGAAGAGTGTGTCTTCCCTTCCCAGCTGACCAAGAAGTTGGACAGGTCTCTAGCCATTGGAACTTACTATTCGGAGTGGCTTGTTTTTGTTTGGAATCCTTTGTTTAAAAATCAGTAAAAGAAAGCCCCGAAGAAAGTGATTAAAACTGCCACTGATGAGGCTATTATTCATCTTCTCTGCATAGGAGCTCTTCTCACTAGCCTACAAGGGGCTATTTTATTCTCCATGTCCATTCAAGCCTTGACCTTTATTAGACTGTAAACAAGGGTGACAATTGTGAAAGTGGCTTTGTGATATCAATACCTATCCAGGAACTGGGCTTGAGAACAAAATTGCTATCAGATTATGCAAATTCAGCTCAATACTGACCTAGATGTGAATATAGCTCTGGGGTATACATCAC